TACCAGCATGAGTTTGACCAAACTGCGGGAGGCAGTGGAAGACAGGAGTGCCTGGCGTGCTCTGGTCCAGGGGGTCACCAAGAGTCGGACATGACTAAGCGACTAAACAACAACATAGGTAAAGGGTAAAGGGGACCCCTGACCATTAGGTCCAGTTGTGGCCGACTCTGGGGTTGCTCATCTCTCTTTACTGACCGAGGGAGCTGGTGTACAGCTTCTGGGTCATGTGGCCAGCATGACGAAGCCGCTTCTGGCGAACCAGAGCAGCACACAGAAACGCCGTTTACCTTCCCGCCGGAGTGGTACCTATTGATCTACTTGCACTTTGACATGCTTTTGAACTGCTAGGTTGGCAGGAGCAGGGACCGAGCAACGGGAGCTCACCTCATTGTAGGGATTCGAACCGCCGACCTTCTGATCGGCAAGCCCTAGGCTCTGTGGTTTAACCCACAGCGCCATCCGCAAACATAACACAAAAATATCAGAAATGACCAAGGGGGCATGGGTAGAGTCCAGGTCAAGGGAAGTATAGTAATAGTCCTGTTCAGGAGTGCCAACTCCACGGGACCCAACCCTTTTGGGAGAGGGGGTCCAGGCCCCCAATGTAAAAAAAGGGGGGCAAGCCCAGAGCCGAGAGTGGTGCAGCCTCAGCAGCTAGCTCCTCCCCTCCTGCCATAGAGGGGAAGGAAGGGGAAGAAAGTGGCAGCCTCTCTTTTAAAGCTGTCCTTCAGTTCTGGACACCACCATTTTAGAAGGATATTGACAAGCTGGGAAGTGCGCAGAGGAGGGCGACCGGTCTGGCAACCAGGCCTTATGAGGAGTGGCTGAAGGAGCTGGGTATGTGTAGCTTGGAGAAGTGAAGACTGAGAGGAGACAGGATATACCCAAACGACCTTCACATGGAAGATGATGCAAGCTAGTTTTCTCCTGCTCTGGAAGGGAGGACCCAAGCCAATAGATTCAAATTACAAGAAAGGAGTTTCCGACTAAACATTAGGAAGACATTTCTGAGGGTAAGAGCCATTCAGTGGTGGAATGGACTAACTCAGAAGGTGTTGGACTCTCCTTCATTGGAGGTTTTTAAGCAGAGGTTGGATGTTCCTCTCTCAGGGATTCTCTTGATTGCAAGGGGTTCGACTACAAGATCCATGAAGCCCTTTCCAACTCTACAATTCTATAGATTTCCTTTGGAGGCCCATGTAGCTCCCTCCTTTTTGGCATTTTATATAATAGTAATAATAATAATTTATTATTTGTACCCCGCCCATCTGGCTCAGTTTCCCCAGCCACTTTGGGTGGCTCCCAATTGAGTTTTAAAAACAATACAGCATTAAATATTAAAAACTTCCCTAAACAGGGCTGCCTTCAGGTGTCTTTTAGAGATAAGATAGCTGCTTATTTCCTTCACATCTGAAGGGAGGGCGTTCCACAGGGTGGGCGCCACCACTGAGAAGGCCCTCTGCTTGGTTCCCTGTAACCTCACTTCTCGCAATGAGGGAACCGCCAGAAGGCCCTCGGAGCTGGACCTCAGTGTTTGAGCTGAACGATGGGGGTGGAGACGCTCATTCATGGATGATGGCAGTGGCCCCTCTTTTAAAGCTGTCCTTCAGTCTGAGATAATTGTGTAAAAAAGGACCCCCTGGAGAGCTAAAAGCAGGAGCCCTGTTTGAGTTCAGGTTTCACCACCAGTGCAGGCTGGTCCATGAGGATGACTGGGGCCTTGCCCCCGCCAACCCCATTCTGCCCTTAGTCAGCCCCTACCAGCCTACCTTCCTACTTACCTACATCCTGTCCAGGGGGTGGCCTTGTCTTCCAGTTTCCTCCTCCTCTTCCATCTCAGTTTTGCACTTGTAGATGAGGAGGATGGGGTACAAAACCAGAATTACTGAATTCCGTCATTCATTGGCTCTGGCGCCACCTGCTGTTGGTTTCTTGCCTTTCACCCTACCAGTCCCAATAAGCACCAGCCACCATTGAAGTGACAGCTGAGAATGTTGCAGTGCCTCTGAGCATGTCCAAAGTGCCACCACAACACCACACAACCTGCAACTATCTGAGATCAGAGGCTAATATTTCTGAATCTGAGGATATAATTTCAGTACAGGACAAGACCTCTATAATCTTCCATTGTACTAATCACTGTGTTGTGTGTGTGGATTTCTTGGGTTCTGAAACTGGAGCATGCCTAGGGTGCAAATCCTATCAGGACCCATGGGCGTAGCCAAGGAAGGGCAGCTGCGCCCCTAACTAAATTATAATAAATTAAAATATATAGCAAACTGAGGTTCTGCCCCCCTAACAAAAGACCTGCCCCCCCCAACAAAAGGCCTGCCCTCCCCTAAAAAATCCTGGCTACACCCATGCGGAATTCTCTCTGCATTTGCCCTGCTAGTCCTGATGACCATGTTCTATCACTAGGTTGCGCAATGGGAACAGTAAGCCTCTGCTCTGGGAATAAAATGGCAGCCCTCTAGAAGCAGATAATCCATGGAAACGGTTTGCGGGGAGGGGTCTGCCGACTTTGTAGTAACAAGAGCCAAACAAGACCTTTTGAGCAGTTCAATTCCCGGGCTGGTTTCTTGCTGTCAAGCCTGACGGCAATGACAGTTCTGGGAGTTCACGCAGGGCAGCAGATAGATAAATAACAGCTAGTAGAAGTGTTGCTCATTGAGAGAATTAGAATCACATAATTGTAGAGCAAGAAGAAACTCTCTTAAAAAACAGAAGCAGCTCTTTTTGAAAACATTTTCCCGCCTGTTGCAAGGGGGAAACAGATGTTGTGCTGATGGTGCTTCATTAGCAAGATGAATGAGGTCTCTGGTGCAATTGTGGCTCATGTTCATTTACATAACAGACCATACCATTAAGACTTGACATTTGGGGGTGCTAAAAGTCTGAAAGGGGGGGTCATTATTACTGAGAGGGTTTGGGGGGGGATGGTGTAATGTCTGGAGGGGCAGAACCCAAATGGGCTGGTGGCAATGTGGAGCAACCAAACTCAGCAAAGGAGCATTAGCTTTGAACATAGAATGCCCCAAGTTCAATCCCCGACATCCTCAGGTTTTTCTTAAAAATAAAGTAAAATTAGGTAGTAGGCGGCCTAAAGCCCTACTGACAGTCAGAGTAGACAAGACAATACAATACAGTGGTGCCCTGCAAGACGAATGCCTCGCAGGACGAAAAACTCACTAGACGAAAGGGTTTTGCGTTTTTTGAGTCGTTCCGCAAGACGAATTTCCCTATGGGCTTGCTTCGCAAGACGAAACGTCTTGCAAGTTCTTGCGAGTTTGTTTCCTTTTTCTTAAAGCCGCTAAGCCGTTAATAGCCGCTAAGCCGCTAAGCCGTTAATAGCTGCTAAGCCGCTAAGCCGCTAATAGCCGCTCAGACGCTAAGCCGCTAATAGCCGTGCTTCGCAAGACGAAAAAACCGCAAGACGAAGAGACTCGCGGAACGGATTAATTTCGTCTTGCGAGGCACCACTGTACTGGCTTAGATAGACAAATAGCCAGACCTCATCTAAGGCAGCTTCATAAGTCCAGATTTGATTTGAAATACTATTGTAGGAAGTCCACAGGTGGGATGAGTTGACTCTTGCGTAGAAAAGAGGGGATATCAGCATGTGTAGATCCCCACGCAGTGAATAAGAGAACCTGCATCTACTAAAATCCCCTCTTCTACACAGGATATGAGCTATCCTGGCTTCCAAGATTTCGGCAAGCATTTCTTACACATTTTCAAACATTCCTCAGGATTACAAGCGTACTATTTTCTTTTCTTTTCGGGATGCTGCACTGGGTAGCTTCCCCCTTGTCTCTCGACATTGCTTGAATGGCCTTGAACACTGACCATTGACCATAATGAAGAGATCGATTGGCTGGTGCCTCGTTAGTCATCCCATTAGTACTGAAGTTGCCTGAAGTTGCCACCAACTTTCAACTGAAGCAGAACGATGGACAAATTTTGAAAGTTCCTTCTTGGGTGGGGATTGTTATGGGAGATAGCAAAATGAGTGCTTATAATGCTAGTGAAATTTCACTCTGGGTGTGCCTGTGTGTTCCTGTGTCTGTAGATCACACACCCCAGGCCTACATCTTAGCCCTAGCACAGGTGTTTTCTCTCCCCCCATTCCTTCTTGAATGAGTTGCTGAAGAAGCGTTAGTGCCCTCTAGCGATGCAATTGCTTAATTTCACTTGGAGCTGTGCGGGCTCAGCGCTGCCTTCCTCAAAGGATGCTGATGAGATGGCGACCAAGAAACACAAATCTGATGAGCAGAATATGGGTGCCGGAGGCAAAAGAGGAGAGCAGGGCTGTTGAGTTGTCTAAGGGATCGTGTACGGAGCCTGGTTTAAATGTGATGCTGGACATAAAAGGAAAGCCTTCCCCGTGCTGTTGGAGCTTGACCTTTTATGAAACGGAAAAGGGAGGAGGGGTACATATATTAATTTATTGGATTTATATCCCCCACCATCTTCCCTAAAGAGCCCATGGCAGCAAACACATCCGCAGGAAAATGGTTTTTGAAAACCCACCATTCCAAAAATAGTTAAAACCAGGGCTTTATTTCAGCTGGAACTTACCAGAACAAAGTTCCAGTGGGTACCATTGCTATTATAAGAGAACAAGGGAGGTGTTCATGGTGAGTTCCGGCACCTCTTTTCTTAGCACTGGTTAAAACATTCCAGATACAGTTACACACTGCATACACTGCAAGAGGAAGAGCAGGATGGAAACTGAATAACAACAATCTGTTTGTAGCGCAAAAATTCAGGTTTTTCCCCAATCCAGAATTGTTTGTGCTAGTCCTCAGTGTGCTCAGCCAAAGTTGAGTGTAAATTCTGCCATCCACAAGACTGAGTGTGGTTACTTGGTTTTGTTACCTATTTGCTTCTTTTTGACATTTATATCTCGCCTTTCCTCCAAGGTGCTCAGGGTGGCATAGATACTTCTCCTCCTCCCCATTTTATCCTTTCAACAAGGAAGGAGAAGGAAATACTCGAGCCATAAGGTTCCTGCCTTTGTAACTTACCCCCACGATATCAAAATAAGCTCCAGTAGACAAAAAGGGAAGACTCAAGAGCAGCAGGTGCAGACTTAGAGCACTCCAAGCAGGCTTTGGAAGGCACAGCACATAGAACGATTCCTGGCCCTCCCCAGAATAGGAAGAGACATGAGAAGGTGGCAGATAACTCCCTACTGAGGGGAAGAGAGGCAGCAGTGTGCAGAGGAAACAGGATGTCCCGGGAGGTGTGCTGTCTTCCAGGTGCAAAGATTGACGATGTGGCGGAGAAGTTGCCAAGTGTTATCAAGCCCACTGACCACTCCCGCTTCCTTCAGACTCATGCGGGTACAAATGATACTGCCACACACAGACTTTAATGTATAGCAAGGGACTATGGGAGTCTGCGCATGGAGCTGAAGAGCCTTGGGGCACAGGTGGTCTTTTCATCACTCCTTCCTGTTGAAGGTCGTGGCCCAGGAAGAGAGAGGGAAATCCTGGAGGTAAACCACTGACTGTGCAGGTAGTGTTGTCAGGAAGGGTTTTGTTCCTTCGATCATGGTCCCCGCTTCCTTGAGGAAGGACTTTTGGCAAGAGATGGGCTGCACCTCACAGCGGGTGGCAAGAATGTGTTTGCTAAGAGTCTCATGAAGGTGGTCAGGAGAGCTGTAAACTAGAACTTTAGGGGGAAGGAGACAACATTACAGACGACAGAAGAACACATGGAACTGGGGATAATAGCTACATTGATGCTCAGCAAGCTGAGGAGATGTTCCAGAAACCTGCTAAAGGGCAAGAAAGTACAAGAAGGAAGCAGCTGGAGGGAAGGACCCGTGGTTTCAGTTGTCTCTACACAAATGCACAGAGTATGGGAACCAAGCCAGACCAATTGCAGCTTTTAATTCAGGATGGCAAATATGACCTGGTAGCAGTGGCGAAGCTGCATGCTCCAGCACCGGGGGCGGAGAGCAGGTGGGGGCGGGGGCATGGCATGTCACCTGCAGGGGTATGGTGTGCGTCCTGGGGGCGTGGCATGCAGCCCACGGGAGCGTGGCGTGTTACCCGTGGGGGCGTGACGCCTGGTGTGGTGGGGGGTGCACGACGCGTATCCGGGGGTGGCCGCGATGATACCCCCCTCCCCGATGGTGACGGGGGCAGTTCGCTCCCCCCCCGTTCCTTTGCCAGTGCCTGGTAGGCATTACTGAAATATTGTGGTATGAGACCCATGACCGGAATGTAGGAATTGAGGGGTATGACCCATTCAAGAGGAAAGGGACAAACATGAATTTGCGTCCCCCGTTTCCTGTTGCACCACTGATTTGCGTCCCCCTATATTTCCTGTTCTGCCACTGATTTGCACCCCCTTTGTGTTTCCTGTTGCACCATGAATTTGCGTCCCCGTCATTCCTGTTGCACTTCTAATTTGTGTCTCTACACAAATGCACAGAGTATGGGAACCAAGCAAGACGAATTGGAGCTTTTAATACAGGATAGCAAATATGACCTGGTGGGCATTACTGAAACATCATGGGATGAGACCCATGACTGGAATGTAGGAATTGAAGGGTATAAAATATTCAAAAGGAAAAAACCAAACAGAAAGGAAGGGGGAGCATCATTATATGTAAAGGATGTGTATACTTGTGAAGAAATCCATGACCTAGAGCAGGCATACCAGGGTGGAGGGGTCTTCGGACCCCTCAATATTTGCTGGCAGGGGCCAGGCCCCCTGATGTTGAGCTACCCTTCCCAATTTGGTGCCATCTGCAAATTTGAGGAGCACCCCCTCAATTCCTTCATCCAAGGCATTTATAAAGATGTTGAAGAACCCTGTGGCACTCCACTTTTTCCAGTCACTTTTTTCCAGGATATTTTTCTTCCTGTTTGGACTATTGTTGAGACACTGCACAGAAAGAACCTAATGCAATCAACACAGTCATATGAACCACATGTACAGTCACACTAAGAGACAGCCAGTGTGGGGTTGTGGCTAGAGTGCTAAACAAGGACCTGGGAGGCGAGGGTTCAAATCCCCACTCTGCCATGAAGCTTACAGGATGTGACTTTGGCCCAGTCATTGCCTCTCAGCCTTGCCTACCTCACAGGGTTGTTGTAGGGAGTAAATGAGGGAGAACCATGTATGCCACCTTGAGCTCCTTGAAGAAAAACTGTGTAAATGCAACAAACAAATAATAAGCTTGCTTTTTGGTGGATTTGTTTTTCATCAGTCTGCATTAAACTGCAGAAAAGCGCTCTTGATTCTGTCACATTAAAAAACAGCTTCTTGCAGTGTTTTCTGTTGTTTGTTTAGATCAATGCACACTGGTGAGACACGGGTGAGTGTGACTGTAATGCAAGAGGTGTCAGGGAGATGCAGATCTCTGGCAAACTGCACATGTCCTGCAGGGCCGTCTTAAGCATATCTGGCACAGTGGTGCAAAGCTCCCTCCGGTGCACCCCCACCCTATTTCCCAGACTTTTTTTAGGGAGGACGGCACTGCCGGTAGGGCTGGAGGAGGCGGGCAGCGCCTGTAGGGCGGCTCCTCCAGCGGGGAAGAGGTAGAGGCTGGACACGGCGCCTCCCAGCTCAGCTGGCCGCTTCGTGCCGCAGTGGCCATGGCAGACGGAGGCTCTGGGCGCTGCGCTGCTTCGGCGCGGCATGGGCGGAAGCAGGCGAGGGCAGCGAGCTGATGCCGGGAGGCGCCGCGCCCAGACTCCGCTTCTTCCCTGGCACCCTCCAGAACTTGGCACCCTTGCGCCCCACGCCACTAGCCTCTATGGGTAAGACGGCCCTGGTGGAGTTGAGAGATGACCTAACCTGGTTAGAAAACAGTAAAGACCTGATGAAGAAGGCACAGCAGAGGTTATACTTTCTGAGAATCCTCCGGAAAAATAATTTCTCAAAGGACCTGTTGATGGCATTTTACCATTGTACTGTTGAGAGTATTAACTTATGGTCTGTGTGTGTGGTTTGGGAGCTGCACAGTCAGGGGGGGAAACAACGCTGCCCAGGGTTGTAAAGACTGCGGAGAGAATAATTGGGTGCACTCTTCCCACCTTGGATCAAATCTGTGCTTCCAGGTGTCATAAGAAAGCTGCAGAGATAGCGCAGGATAGTGCACACCCCGGAAATGATCTCTTCCAGCTTCTGCCTTCTGGAAGAAAGTACAGGGTTATAAAGACGAGGACTAGCTGCCTGAGAAACAGTTTCTATCCAAATGCGATTTTGGTTTTAAACGCAATGTAAGGTAGTCTCTGTGGGAGCATATTATATTTAATTACGGGGTATCAGAGTTTTTAGGGGGCTAACCAGGCTGGGATAGCTTGGATAGCAGGCTTGTTGGTTTTTGAATGTCTGATGTAGAATTTTCAATTTCGTTGTTCTGTATGGGACAATGACAATAAAGATTATTGTATTGTATGTCCTGCACTCTGTGCAGAACTCTGAAATACAAACTGGAATAATGGGAAATTCTTAAATGTTTTGGTTCCACTTTCAAACCCAAGACTGGGCAATTGGGAACTTCTGCAATCCCTAGAAGATATTTGGATGGCAAGAACTGCAGGTGTATCCTTCTCTGCCTTCCACCGGCATAGCAACCCCCGCCGGCACTTGGGGTGGGAGGGGGGTACATGCACACCCACATGAAAGGGTCAGAGCATCCAAGTGGGCAGGGCACCCCGTCCGAATAAATGCACCCTCCTGTGAAGGAAGCATCTAACATTTTCTGGCAGCGCTGAGCCCTCTCCAGGGCAGCCGCAGCTGAGAGGAAGGTGGTGGCTGGGCTGCCCTAGGGTGCTCTGCTGCCCATGGTGCCCGTACCCACCCCCACCCCCTTCCTCCACTATTGGAGAGCAGCCTTTACCAAAGGTTTCATGGGCTCAGAAGACACTCGAACTCAGGACGCAAGGGAAAAACATGCTAAGAGGAAGGCATGCTTGGCAAATCCACACCGTGATCAACTCCCGCCCGGAAACCAATGTCCCCACTGTGGAAGGACGTGTGGGTCCAGAATTGGCCTCCACAGTCACCTACGCACTCATTGTTAAAACTGTGTTTATAGAAAACAATCTTACTCAGCTACAAGTGATTGCCAAAGAAGAAGCTTTCTTCCCTTGTTTGCTATATTTTTATCCCACTTTTCAGACAGTTTGTGGTCTTCCAAAGCGGCTCCCAGATAGAGGGAGAAGGAGAGGTTGACCTCACTCAAGGAAAAGAGAGTGGAGGGGAAAGGGAGAGAAGCAGGAGAAATTGGACTTCATGGCTAGAAGCATGTGGGGATCTGCAAGGGGCCATTGATGCCCCGTTGGGGCCAGGCAGATCTTCCAATGCTGGTTTCCTGGCTTGAATAGCTCTGTTTTCCTCTGGCTGGTGGATGAGATCATAATGGCGTGGCCCCGCTGAAGAAAGGCTACAATGTTTGGGACTTTTCAGTGTGGAAATTTTCTGAGAAAGTCAGAAGTTTAGAAAATGATGCATCTATGGAAAAAGTGGACAGAGGACAGCTTTTCTCCCTCTCTCATAAGATTCAGGATGGATTAAAAAAAAGTGTTTCTTCACGCAGCACAGCAAACTCACATCCCATAGATGGCAGTGATGGTCACCAACATGGATTTCATGTATATATATAGGATTGGACATATCCATGGAGGACAAGGCTTTTGGTGCCTCCTAGCTCTGCTCTGTTTCCATGGTCGAAGGCAGGAAATGCGTCTGAATACTAGTTGCTAGAAACTACAGGAGGGGAGTGTTGCTCTTGTGTTCAGCTCCTGCTTGTGAGTTTCCCATTGGAGAATCTGCTTGGCCACCGTGAGAACAGGTTGTGAGTCGAGGACCCGCCACCACCATAGGATTATAATAAGACACAAAGACACATTATTTTTGGTTAATGGACAAACCACAACTTTATTGGTTACAGCATGTGAGTAGTATTGGCTTAGGCATTGGATAAAACAGCAATACATGACTCCACCCGACTCAGCGGGGAGTCATTTCAGGGTTGACAACCAGTGGGAGGAGCTTGTTGATGCAAATACAACTGGAAGCTTCCCCATGACGTCACCGGGGGTCGTGCCATGGCTCGAGAGCCAGTGTGGTGTAGTGGTTAAGAGCAGTAGTCTCGTAATCTGGTGAACAGGGTTCGCGTCTCCGCTCCTCCACCTGCAGCTGCTGGGTGACCTTGGGCCAGTCACACTTCTCTGAAGTCTCTCAGCCCCACTCACCTCACAGAGTGTTTGTTGTGGGGGAGGAAGGGAAAGGAGAATGTTAGCTGCTTTGAGACTCCTTAAAGGGAGTGAAAGGCGGGATATCAAATCCAAACTCTTCTTCTTCTTCTTCTAGCCACCAGCAGGGCATCGGACAGGATCCATGACCACCAGGTTCCTGTAACGGAATACCCAAAAGAGGAGGGGTAGATGATGGCCCATACCCAACCCTCCAACACAGCACACATATTCCAATGCCTAACCACCAATACCAGAAAGTTGTGACAAGTTGCTACGACATAGGCGGAAAAACCAAGAGGACAGGTTGCTGGACCACATATGTCGTTGGCCTGATCTAGTAGGATCTTCATATGTTCTTATGTCCTTTACTTCTGCAGCCCCAGGACAGGTGGCAGTTGATGCCAAGTGTCCTTTCTGGCAAGGAGCTCCCTGGAGCTTCTGATGTATTGTGCCAGGTGGGGATTCTTTTGCTTCCCCTCAGAGGCAATGGGTGCAGTCTCCTGGCATTCCCTGGCCCCCGGCCCATGACAGAAGCCATTGTGTGATTTCTTTCTCCTCTAATTCTTAGTCCATTCTTAGCCCCCAGCAATGGACAAGGTGCTTTGTTGTTATATGAACATATAAAGTCAGGTCCCAGCTCCAAGAGGCCTACAGTCTAAAATTTGACAGTGGGAGGAGGCAGGAGAACGAGGAGAGGAATGTCTGTGGCCTCCTTCCCTGCCTCCTCCTCACAGCTCGGTTTTCAAAGATAACG